ATCAAGGAGAAGTCTTGAAACTGCATCGAGCGGTGGTGCCTCTCGGCTGGCCCGGCACAGCCTCGGTTCCTGGGAAGCCTGGGGTCAGAGAGGGCCCCGCTCTTGAGGTTATTTTTAATCATTTTGCTTTTGGGGGAGGAGGGCTTCTGGGCAGCAGCTCCATGAGGGGGTAACCAGTGCGGGTTTCACTTCAGGGTTTGGAGGGGAAGTTGGGTCTGTGGGGCATTGGGACCCGCCCGGCCCCGAATGTCACAGCTGAGGTTCTTGGAAGTGGCCCAGCGAAGTTCCTTCCTGCCTTCTTCCTGCCCGGACCCCAGGTCTATGGCTTAAAAATCAGGGCACCAGGCTGGGGCTGAGCACCCCAGGGGCCTTTGTAAACATGGCAGGTACAGGCAGGGGGAGCTTGGGGGAACCGTAGGAACTGGTGGGGGCAGCCAGAGCCGGGGGAGGGCAGTGCCCGTGGGGAAAGGGGGCATGGGCTGGAGGAGGTATGCTCCTCTAACAGAGACACAGAGGTACAGAGACTAAGAGAGACAGAGAGGACAGAGATGGGGGTAGAAAGAGTGACAGGAAGAGAGAGACTCAGAGAAAGCAAGGGAGAGATTGAGACAGAGAAAGATTCACAAAGACAGACAGACAGACAGATACATGGAGTCCCGCTCTGTATGAGTCAGCGGGCGGCCGGGGGTGGACCGGGGCCCGGGGCGCGCACGGGATGCGCCAGTGTGACGGTAAGGGCATCGTTGTGCTGCACGAGGGAGGTGTGCTGGTAATGCAGCACCAGCTCCTTCAGAGACCCATACAGGTTGTAAGGCTCCGCAAAACCCAAGCCAGTGGCCGTGCGGTAGATGACACAGTGCTTGGTGTCGCCGTCCACCCTGTGGGGTGAGCAAACAGGTGGTGGTCAGGTGGGCACCCCAAGGGCTCCCCCAGCCGCTCCCTCAATTCTCAGCCCCTGACCTGGTCCAGACCCCAACATCCCTGGCCTGGACACTGTCCCAGCTTCCTCCCCTACCCCCAGTAACCCCTTCTTCCTGTGGCAGCTATGGGGATCTTCTTCCCAGCTGTCTTCCCAAAGTCTAGCACACAGTAGGTGTTCAATAAGAGCTCTTGGAAGGAACATGTGGCTCCTCCACCCCCAAGGCACTCACACCACAGAGCAGGCGTAGCAGCCCCGCTGGCTGCTCTCACGGATGAGGAAGGTCCCATCCCGCTTGCCGTTCAGCATTTCCTCAGCCTGCGTGCGGTTGATCTTGCCCACATACCAGGTTCGTTCCTCATGGTGGGGGAGGTCATCCTCATCCTCCATCAGTGCGTACTGGCTGTGGGCAGGCAGGGAGGGGCGCTGGTCACTTACCCCGCAGCCTCTGAGGCCCCCCCGCCCCCCGGACAACACTCCCTTCCTGGTGAACTCCTACTTATTTTGCAAAACCCACCAAAAATGGCCCTTTTGGGAAGCCCTCCCTGACACCCTTCATGTGGTCACTCACTCTTCAGTCTCATTTTTGATTCCCAACCACTCGTTGATTTTCTTCTGCCGGGCGCCTTTCTGGGTGAGCCATCTGGGAGGAGAAGGAAAGGCGGGTGGTGCAGCAGAGGCAGGGCCAGACCACGGGGGTCCAGTCCAGTCCAGTCCAGTCCAGCCTGCTGGGAGCCAAGGGCTGACCAAGGAGGGTGGGCTTGGGTGCAATACCACCGGTTGCCACAAGGTGCCAGACTGAAGGTGGAAGAGCCTGGCTCTGCCAGGAAACCCCCTATTTATTCTGTTTCTGTTAACACTCGTGGAGCCTCCAGAACCCGCCACCCCGCAGGGTCATATCACCACCAGAAACTCGGTCTTAGGGGCTGCACACAATGCTGTTGGCCTTCGCACGCACAGCGCAGTGATCTGTTCTGCGTCTCAGTTTTCCTAGCTGGAAAGGGGAAAGTTTACAAAGGACTTGGAGACCACAAAGTATGTGCATGGTGGCTCAGCACAGTCTAGCACACAGCAGGCGTAGGTAAGCATCTAAGGCCCAGGTGGGGAAAGAGCCCTAGCCAAAGTCCTCATACTGGGGTCCTAGGCGAGCGTAGGGCACTCACACCAAGTACTGGTCTCGGATCTTGCGCAGCTGCATGAGGTCTGGCTTCAGGCTGTTCATGCGCTTATCGATCTCCCGGTTGTCCAAGGCCTGTGTCCGCAGCTCCTGTTCCAGCTTCGTGCGGCTCTCGTGGATCTCGGCGATGCGAGACTTGAGCCGTTCTGAGTTCAGCCGGATCCTGGGGGGAGGAGTGGCTCAGGGGCCGTGGATGGCTCCCAGCCTCTAAGCAGCTGCACATGCTGTTTCCCTGATTTCTCCTCTGGTGAACTCCTATTCAGCCTTCAAAGCCCATTTCAACTGACCCTCCCTCCCCCTGGAATCCCAGCTGCCCCCTCTATTTCCTTTCTTTTCCCACTTGCACTAGATGGGTGAGCAGGGCAGGGCAGAGGAGCAGGACTCACCTCTGCATCTCCTTCTCGTTGCCCTCACGCCGGAAGCGTTCCAAATACTCCTTGCTGCACTTCTCTTGAGTCTGGCCCTGCTCTTCGAAGATCTTGATGGTTTCATTGAAGGCCTCGATGGCGGTGCGCTTCATCTGCAGCTCCTGGAGGAGGGGGTGGATCTCAGCATCATCTGGGACTCCCCGCAAGTCCCTCATGAGGGCGATGGCAGATCCCGACTCTTTGTTCAAGCTATTCCATCCTCTAGGCATGTCATTCCTCTAGCTCTTACTGCACCAAACGAACTCCTAGTCAACCTTCAATCCCCCATTTCCCCAAACACATTCCTCCTTTATAACCTCCCTTGGGTACCTTATAAATACCTAGACTTGCAGGCACTGCTGATAATTAATGATAAACCTAGTTGCTACAGTTCATGCGGTTCCTTCTCAGAGTAAATGCTGTGCCAAGCATTTCCCGTGCGCCATCTCACAGACCCTGCCAACAGCCTCCTACAAAGTCAGAAATATTATTGGGGAAACTAAGACTCAGGGAGCCTAAGTCTTGTCCAAGTCACGATGTTCCTAACAGATCCCAGGCAGGCAGGCATCTTGTCCACTCAGAGCCTCAGCAGACGCATCAGTAAAAAGAGGACAAGAAAGAAATCCTTCAGGGACCGCAGGGGAAACAAGCCATTCCCAGCCTGAGAGGGTCATTTGATCTGAGTAAGTTGCCTCTCAACTTGCCAAAGGAGTCTTCAACACAGTTCCAGAGTAAGAGAACCCCCCCTTCCCTGTTTTAGAAGATGCTGTTCTTTAATGTGACCTCCTGACTGACTGTCTAATGCAGCGGTTCTCAACCTGTGGGTCGCGACCCCTTTGGCGGTCGAACGACCCTTTCACAGGGGTCGCCTAAGACCATCCTGCAGATCAGATATTTACATTACGATTCCTAACAGTAGCAACATTACAGTTATGAAGTAGCAACGAAAATAATTTTATGGTTGGGTCACAACACGAGGAGGTGTATTAAAGGGCCAGAAGGTTGAGAACCACACATCAGATTATTGTCATCACTATAAATAACCTCTAGGTTGAAGGGGACGGAGAAGGAATTAAAACACACAGTCCCAGTTTACAGATGGGGAAACTGAGGTACTGAGAGATGCACAGGTTAACCGAGACATCTCCCAGGTCCTAGCCCAGCTGCTGACAGGCTGACTGGCATCATCTCGTTTGTTCTTAAAAAAAGAATAAAAAACACGTACACCCTAGCTCAGTGATGGCGAACCTATGAACTCATTTTTTGGTTGATTTTTCTTTGTTAAATGGCATTTAAATATATAAAATAAATATCAAAAATATAAGTCTTTGTTTTACTATGGTTGCAAATATCAAAAAATTTCTATATGTGACACGGCACCAGAGTTAAGTTAGGGTTTTTTGTTTTTTTTTAAAATATATTTTATTGATTTTTTACAGAGAGGAAGGGAGAGAGATAGTTAGAAACATCGATGAGAGAAACATCGATCAGCTGCCTCCTGCACGTCCCCCACTGGGGATGTGCCCGCAACCCAGGTACATGCCCGGGTTGCAGGCTCAATCCCCAGTGGGGGCGTGCAGGAGGCAGCCGATCAATGATTCTCTCATCATTGATGTTTCTATCTCTCTTTCTCTCTCCCTCTCTGAAATCAATAAAAATATATTAAAAACCAAAAAACACCACATACACTTATTTCTATGTTTTTAGGGCAGTTCCTGGTGCTAAGTGACTGCTTTGTGACCTGGAAGTGGTGGTCTGTCCCCATGGCCTTGGCACTGGCCTCCGTGCCTCGCCTCCCCGTGTGCGCAGGCCCGCGGTACCTGGGAGGTGCGCGTGTACTCCTCGTAGAGCTGGTCGTACTCGCGGCTCTTGTCCTGGTACTGCTGATGGTAGACTTTGAGCTGGGCGCCCACTGCCTCCACGCTGTCTTCCTTGACAATCTGGTCCTGCGGACACCCAGTGCGAGCAGTGAGGCCACCTGGGCATTCAGGCCCGGGGCCACCCTCGCTGGTTCCTGCCCAGGCCCCAGACCTGCTGGTACTTGGACACGGGGTACAGGAGCCGTGTGTCTAGTTTGGCATTGTACTGCGCCAGGGACTCGTGGCGGTAGTGGGTGATGAGGTCCACGACGGAGCAGAAGGTGAGCGGCTCCGAGAAGCCATAATGCCCATCACGGTGGAAGACCTTAATTAGCTTGTTGTTTCCACCTTTCCTGGGGGTGGATAAGAGGGGGTGTCACCATCCAGTAGGACCCCAAGCCTGACTTCCAGGTGTCCTGGCCCTGACACAGCACATGTCCTCCTCCCCCCATTTCACCCCAGTAGTCCCCAAAGGGCAGGCCCCCACCTAAGGGTCAGGGTATACTCTCCCTGAATCTTGCTGGAGGCATCTCGGACCAGGAAGGTGCCGTCAGGTGTGTCCCGGAGTTTGTCGTTCACCTCCTCCCTGTGGGGACACCCAGGATTGGAGCCTCCCATTGGAGACCCTGTCCTTCAGGCCTTGCCTACCAACACATGACCCTACCCCACAACCCTACCTGGAAATGTCACCCCAGTACCACTCAGCATCCTGCAGAGAGGGTGGGCTCCCCCCATTAGCCAGCCCCGCTGGGGCGGGCTTGACTTTAGGTGGTTTAGGCGGCAGAGCTGGAGGACAGGAACACAAACACAATGAACGCGGATTCTATGCTGTGGGCCGCTCCCCCTGCAACCAAACCTGCTGATGCGGGGGTGGGGTGGGGGGGGGGCTGGAGTCTTCACTCACGGCCCCCAACGGTAAGAGAGGATGATGCAAAAGGGCGTCACCTGGGGGTGCGACCTCCTGCTCCTCCAGGTGCTCCTGAAGCAACTTCTCCACCAGCAGAGCTGGGAAGTCGGGGTTGGGCTCAGTCCTGGGGGAGGGGAGGGGAGTGAGCAGGGAGGGGTTTCTGCACACGCGTGTGCACAAGGTCCTGGGTGTGCCTGCACACCTGCGTGAGCACACACGAAAGGTGGGAAGCAGGGCAGATGACGCAGGCAGGTGTGGGAAGCCAACTGCTGCTCATGTATGTGCAGTGCGCGCTCAGTAAATACACCCGCGCTGAGGGGTCCGGCACCTGGAAGGGAAGGTCCAGGCACCACACGGGTGCCTCTCCTCCAGTCCAGGCCCCAAGTCCTCGGAGCGGGGGGTCCTCCTGAAGCCCAGGTTCACCCCTTGTTATCCTTCCTACCACCCCAATCACGGCAGCTGTGCCTGCTACCCCCTCTCCCCCGCCAAGTCTCGGCCTTTCCTCCAACTAAACCCGCTCCCCAGC